AGAGAGAGAGAGAGAGAGAGAGAGAGAGAGAGAGAGAGAGAGAGATTTACATGGTAACTTAAAACATAACATGTTGTAGCCGTTTCTGTTGCTTTTATTTGTTTGAATTGGGAGTTTCACTTTCATAGCGTATAGAAAGCTTCGATATGTGCAATTGATGGGTTTGTGGTTCCAAAATATCTAATTATCAGAAGCAGAGATGTGATATATCACCTTGTGTTGTGGCTTCAATTATAGTTCTATGTAAGGGGACATAGAAATGTGAGTAAGTTGACACAAGAAGCATAGACATAGAAACATAAACTCATCGAGAGGATGATAGAAAGCTGGAGTTTAAGATTCATGTAATAAAAAAACTTTGTGTTTGTTCTTTTGACAGGTCCAGACTGTGTATACAAATGACACCTTCAGGATTATTAGAAAAATACTTATGTTTTTAAGGTGGTCACGGGTCTGCCAGAGATTATAATGTCCACAAAGCTCACAAAATGGTGCTTTCATTCTCTTTGCTTCTTCTTCTTCTTATACCAGTCCTTTCTCTCGGGGCTTAGACTAATGCATCTCTATGTTCCACTTCCAACACAGAAGACTTAATAGCAGTACGGACCCTGAAATAATATATAAATTTCATCAGCCCTCAGTTAAACAATTCTCTTAAGTAGCATAATGGTAACTGTGTTGAAATGAGAAATCAGAGGTTCTGAGTTCGATTATGGCAACCCCCAAATCTTTATTTTTTTTGCTAACACATCTATTACAGGCCCATAATTATTTTGGGCTTCATGTCGTTACATTCACCGGACCGGCACCGCTTTATACGAAGTTCAAACTCTTAACCATAGCTTTTCTGATCTTTCATTCAGGTTCATTACTATGTACAGTCAGATTCAAATGAAAGAGTACTGGGATCATGTCGTATTGGTATGACCATTTAACTCTACATTTTTCCTCCTTACATAAGCTTGTTTTTCATAGTCTTAATGGTGTGTGGTTTTCTTTTCTTTAGCCATCTGCTACAAAGAAACAGGGACGACCAATCTCTACTTGTTTGAAAATTTTGGATATGTCTGGAAAACATATACGACATAACAAAGCAACTTTATTGCAGAATAACAAATGGAAAACATATACGACATAACAAAGCAACTTTATTGCAGAATAACAAATGGAAAACATATACGACATAACAAAGAAACTTTATTGCAGAATAACAAATGGAAAACATAACAAATGTTGTGAAAATAATCAACTTTATTGCAGAATAAAAACTAAAGCAGTTACCAAAACCTAGAGAAACCAAAACCAAATTTTGCAGAAAAAAATTTTAGAACAGAGAAACTTCAAATTCCAAAGTCGCATCTGACACGATTGTGTCCTGAACGATGACATCTTGAGCAAGCTTGTTTCCGTGCTTTTTTGAGCTTTTGCTTGTTCTCCAAAACATTCATATCTTCTTTTCACAGGTCTTCCTGCACCTCTTTTAACATCTGGAGGAAGGCATTTCTGAGCAACAATATGAGGAGGTATCTCCCTCACTTCCAACAACTCATCTACAGGTTTAATACTCTCTGAATATGCAGCACACAAGTGTGCCTTTGAGTAGTACTGATGCACAAATAACCCAGGTTTAAAGCCTCTACTTGTCGCAGCCTTAGCAGCATGCCTACAAGGGATCTTGTCAACATTAAACACCTTACATGTGCAAGTCATTTGTTGAAGATCAACCAAGTAATTTCTTGACCCATCAGTTACATGAAACTCATGCTGATTTATAGACTGAACATCAAGAGTAGACGCCAAATCACACCTTCTATTGAGCTTCTTTTCAACTTTAGGCGTGAGAGAAGAGTTGATCATCGCAGCACTTTCTCGACGGTCATAAAACCACTGTGTAAGTCTATTCCTTATGGCTTCAATCAATGACACAATGGGTAGCTCACATAGTTTCTTAAACATCACATTTATTGATTCTGCTGTATTGCTTGTAGTGATGTCGTATTTGTCTCCAGGAAAATAAGCACGTGATCACAGGTGAACATCTGCTTCCTCCAGATAAACGCTCAAGTTGTGATTCTGACGTCGTATTTCACTGAAAATCATGTCGAATTCTGCAGTTGTATAAGCTTTGATGGCTGTCTTTACAAGGCGAGAAATCTTTCTCCCTCCAGGCTGAGAGATGATATTCTTTCGTAGATGATAGGTGCATATTCCACGCTGAGCCAATGGATACACTTTTGCTACTGCTTTTTCGATGGATAGAGCTCTGTCAGATATCACTACTAAGCTAGGATCATCAGATACAACAGTTTTCAATCTGTTGAAAAACCACTCCCAAGCTGCTTCATTCTCAGCATCTACTATTCCAAATGCAAGAGGATACACATGAGAATCACCATCCTGAGCTGTTGCAACTAGTAAAACTCCCTTATATTTCCCTTTCAAGAAGGTGCCATCAACGACGACAACTTTCCTCAAGAATTTAAAACCCTTGGCAGAAGCAGCAAACGAGAAAAACAAGTACTTGAACCTATGCTTACCATCAACCTCGAGGCATGCTAGTGTACCCGGATTAGCCATAACAAGCTTATGCATGTATACTGGAAGCTGCTCATAACTACTTTCTGGAGAACCTAATACCTCTGTTCGTGCATGCTCCCTGGCTTTCCATATCTTCCAATATTTTGAATCAAGACCATATCTCTTTTTCATAGTACTCGAAATCAACGTTGGTTTCATATTTAAACCTTCATTTCCAAAGTTTTCCAGAAGAAGCTTACTTATAACTCTAGAAGAAGCTCTCGGTCCACCAATGTTTCTGGAAAAACATGTATGCTTGTCGAAGTACTTTGTTACCCAGAAAAACTCGCTTGTCGGATTAGTCTTTGAAGCTCTAACCCTCCAGTTGCAGGTTTTATCTGCACATATGACAACTAACAACTTCTTGTCTGACTTCTTGACAACAATTCTGAATTTGCGTTCAATCGAAAGCATCCGTATACTCCAAGACAGCTCTGCTTTATTCTTGAACCATTGACCCTTTTCAATGACCTTTGTGTCATGAAGAAACTTCCACTTCTGGTTCTTGATTATTATCCTGGCTATCAACATTCTTATCCTTAGCTTCACCACTGCCTTTTCCATTAAGGGCAGTATCTTCACGAATGAAACCTTGATCATGGTTCCTTAGGTTTCCATTCTTCACCGAGATGCAAAGACGCAGAGTCAAAGATTTACCCATTTCACACATAGAATCAAATTGGCTATCATTGTTCACAAAAACAGGAGGTGTATCCTTAGGCATCTCTCGAAGCATTGATTCCGGTAGTGCATAGCTAAGTTCTAACTCATTATCCAATCTATTTATACCGAAATCATCGTGAACCATCTGAACCATATCGTAAAACTTCAAACCTTCCTTAATGGTAAACAATTTACCTCTTGCTCTTGTATTCACCATGAACTTCCATGATTCCTTATTCATCTTCCACTCTCCTAAAACTCCAGCCAAAATGAAACATGATTTTCCTATAAGAAAAAAGAAAAGAAGTATTATCAGAATTAAAAAGAAGCAGATTTAGAAACTCAAATTTGATTCATAAATCAACAAACCTGAATCTCTGAAGCTACAGAGAAAGGAAAAAAAATTGGGAGATGGAGAGGATACGAGAGATAGAGAGGATACGAGAGAGAAGCAGCGTTTGTTTACTTGTCGAACTTTAACAGAACTCTGAGTTCGTGCATAACAATCAAAAAACGACGACGTTGAGTTCTGTAATTAGGGTATTTCCTTTTTTATTTTGACAACTAGTTAGCAAATTTCAAAATAATATAATATTTAAAGATCTTTTTCTGAACGACAAAATATTTAAAAATATTTTATAAAAGATATGCGAATATATTCTGTAGATTCTCTAACAAATTATTCAAAAAAATATTAAGTTGTTACAAACGATTTTTCATTTTAAATATTTTTTAAAAATATATATATTAAGAATTATAGTATAATTAATATTGGGCAATTTGGTAAATTTACATATATATATATAAGTATATTTTTCCAACAATTTAAATAAAGGTGTAGTGTTCAAATTATAATCCCATTTAAGTGTATTTCCCCAAATTTCCCCTAAAGTCATGCACTAAGCGCGGGTTAGAATCTAGTTATTCTTAAATGATAATTGGATAGAAAAGCAATTAATTAATTGTTGCTATTAAATGCTTAAAAGAATAATCTTTTATTCAATTCCCTAAAGAGAACAAACGTGTCCAAGCAAAAATCGATAATACGTAAGTTTAATAATGATACAGTACTTGTGTTTTAAATATCATAAGTAATTAATTGATTTTGTCCGGTGTTTTACTCACGGTTTCTCTGCAGTCTGACTCTTGTACACAAAAATAATGGCGAATAACGACGAACACTCGGAAGATTCGAACTCCAATAGAGAAGACTCGTTCGAGGTTGTTAAACAACGTCTCAAGGATCGATCAAAGGTATCGCCTCCTCTTTAGATTTGATTTTGGGCCAATTTGTCTTGACCGGATTTTCATCTTATAGAAAGTTGTTCAGACAAGAGAATTATTGACTAGACAAGCGGTGCAGACACGCGAGATCTTATCGAAACAGGCCGTTAAGATCGCCAAACAAGCCGAAGAACACGAGAGATTCATCAATAAGGTATCTTCCGTTAACGTCTTTTTTTGAAGTTATTCACTTCCAGAGTAACGGAATAAAGTGAAAACTTGATAAATGTTTTGACTTTTAGCACTGCTGAAACAGTTTACATGAATCTTGATTCACTATATAAACCAGATATCTGATTGTCTTTTTTGTTGCTAAGGTTACACACCTTGTTGGGGTGCTCGGGTTTGGAGGATTTTGTTTCCTACTTGGGGCAAGTGAGTTCCACATATGTAATTACCAACGTGAATCTTTAAAGTTGCTAATAATTTGTGTGTGTTTTGTCATCAGGGCCACAGGACATTCCTCTCGTTTACTGCTTCTTCTATGTCATCTTTGTTCCTCTTAGATGGATATATTACCGGTTTAAAAAATGGCATTATTATCTTCTGGTAACCTCCCTTTAGAGGTTTTGGTGATCAACAAAAAAAAAAACACCATTTGATAATCCTGCAAACATTTTTGTAATGCTAGGACTTTTGTTACTACGCCAACACAATCTTCTTGGTTGATCTTCTTCTGTACCCTAAAAATGAAAAGCTCTTCATGGTTTGCTTTTCCTTTGCAGAGGTATGCTTTTGTAACTACATAGACATATTTGTATCTGTCTGTGTAAGCTGATTTATCAACTTGGTTGTACCTTGCGCTGCGGTATATCTGCAGGGACCATTGGCATGGGCGCTTATTGTCTGGCGTTGCAGCCTGGTTTTTAGTTCCCTCGATAAGATTGTTAGTGTCCTTATACATCTCTTGCCTGGTGAGTTAGTATTGTTAAACTGGTTGTCTTTTTTTAAGTGTGTCTTGAATTCTTAAGTCCAGCAATGAATTTTGTTTTAGGGCTCGTGTTCTTCACAATTAGGTGGTGGAATCCAGCGACTTTTGCAGCTATGCACCCTGTAGGCACTGCTCGTAGGGTTTCATGGCCTTACGTGGAAGATAAATCTTACCTTTTCACATGGCTGTTTCTCATACCCTTGGTGGTTTATACTCTTTGGCAAGTGCTCTATTTTCTGATCGTCAATGTCCTGCGTAGGCAGAGACTCTTGAGAGATCCTGAAGTTATGACTTCGTACAGGTATCATATATCTTGTCTTCTTACCGTAGACTGAACATGCCCTAATGAAATCTTCTGGTCTCTGCAGAGAGCTGTCGAAGAAAGCTCAAAAGGCGAACAATAAGTTGTGGCAGCTAAGCGGTCTGCTAGGGGATCAGAATCGTATGTGGATGTACATCCTGTTCCAGGCCATCTTCACGGTGGCTACCATGGCATTGACCGTGCCTATCTTCTTATCGTATAGACTTCACGTCATCTTTCAGATCCTGAAGATTTCGGCGGCTGTGTGGAACGGAGGTAGCTTTTTACTAGAGGTAATGCCACGACAAGTGATCCAAAAAGAGAAGAAAAAAACAGAGATGCAGCCAATAGAGGAGCAGCTGCCACCTCCCACTCACAATGAGGCAAAATCTATCACTGAAACATGAGGAGGTACATATAAAATATCCTGATGCATGTCAGAATGGAACTGACAAACGATGACTCTTTTTTTCTTCTCAAAGTGATGACCGTTTTTTATTCTTTTTTATTACGGTTTGTCCTTGTTACATCGTTTTAAAGGGTCATAGTAAATGAACTTGTAGTTGCCTTTTCCTTTTAGTTGCACTTCTCTCTACCACAACGTGCTAGAAGAATAGATAGGAAACAATTTAAACGCAACATCACATCGCTTTGATAAAAGTTTGGAATATCCTCAAACATCTTCCAAAAAATCAACAATAATAGATTATGGTCTGATTTGCCCAAAACAAAAAAAAAATAGATTATGGTCTGCTTGAGTATACAAAGAAGAAGATTACGGACTGGAAACAAGGGCTAAAATATCTACTGTGTTTTATAGTTTCTTAATTGCTGAATTTTCCTTTCGATCTGTTCTGCTTGTTTTTCTTCCTACTTGCTTGAATTTGATGTTAGTGAAAGTTATCCAGAGAATGATCTAAAGAACAGAAAAAGTTGTTTCTTCGTCGAACAAATGAATAAAAGAATTGTATTTTGCAAAAGTATCAGAAAACATTACCCAAATCTCAGCCAAGTTAATATGGCTTAATAAGGTCTTGTCCCACTTAGGAATTTTTAGGTAATCATCTTTATCTTTAAACTTCTCTCTCTTTAGGGAAACCACATCACTAAAATAGATAAATCACATACTCTCATGTGTATTATAAAAATAGATTTTAATAAGGCCCAATTAAATATTAAATGGACTTAATTTTTTAACTATTAAGATATTTGATGGGCTGTCGAAGAAACCCATATACCTTATTCTCTGTCAATCATCGCATACTCTATATATAGAGTGAGATTCACTCTCATTTTTCTTCAGTAAGCGATGTGGGACTTTCGTCCATTAACACTATAATACGAAAATAAATAAATTGCATCCAGGGAGCATCGAACTCAGGTTGTTTCGGCATAATATTAGGGGTCTCAGCCATTTTGAAACAACGATATCTTTGTCTGATTGCGCATTTGTTAATATATATACATATACATATAACAAAAAATAAAAAATTAATTTCCGATTAATCCCCGATTTATTGTCTAGGCGCTAGGCCTTATCCGAACGCCCGACTAGCGCCTAGCGAGTTTTCGAACACAGATTAATACTAAAGGCATATCTAAGATACTTTTTTTTTTTGGTAAACACTAAGATACTTAGAGGTTTCTTTCACGTCTTCTCGCCATGTTTGTTATTCTTCTGTTAATTATCTTACCGGAGACCTAAAAATCTAAAACGTTTTAGAATCTGACGACTGAATTCCAACCGTGTCTTTAATGCAATCTTTAATAATAGCCCCCATTTCTACACGGTTCATCAATGCATCTATTCCCCCTTAACTTTCTTCCTCTGAACCTTTGACTATAAAAAGGTACCTCATATCCTGTGAAAGTCATCTGTTAGTTCTCTTAATCATAAGCTTCTCAAAAAATCATGTGATAACAATGGCTATCCCCGTAACTATAGTTTGAGGGTGGGCAAAAAACTCATGCTCTTAAATCTATTTCTTCAAAGGTTGTTGTTTCCCGATTTGCTCATGAACTGCAATCTATTTCTTGAAAATCTGTAGATTCTTTATTTGAATGATAAAAAAACAAGTATGATTATTAAGGTTTTGTTTACTGATGTATTGCATGGAGAGAGAATAAGATAAAGCATTGTCTGAAAATCTTCAACGACAGCTGAATTTATCTCCAGAGATAGCTTTCTCATATTCGCTGACAGGATTGCGTTTCATAGTGTTATAATTCATAATCCACTCTATCAAATTATTCTATGAAACTCAACTTATAAACTATTACAGCCAATAGAAATCAGATGAAGTACTTAGGGATCAAATCCACATAGAGCGAAGGCACACAATAGATTTATGAGATCCTAAAGGTTAAGCTATGTGAAATACATATATAGGAAATCAAGTTTCAATAAAAATGAAAATGTTTGTTTAAGTTAATGCAAATAAGAAAAATAGCCAAATCTAGGATTTAGGCACGTGGATTATAATGGATAGGGTGTAAGTAAATCTATACACGAGGAATCAATCCTACAAGTATGATTGTCGATCGATGGTGAAGCACCAATATCGATTGACGGTTACGACGAACTGAAATCCACTAGAATTGGTCGACCAGCCGTCGCACGCATCTAACAACCCTAGCTCAGTTGGAAATATGATCAGAGAAAGAACCCACTGTCGTAGTTTGCTATGTCCTAAGTTCAAGATTTAGTTAGCTACTCTAAATCACATGCATTAAAAACTATCCTAATCAATTAATATTAGTTTTCTAGCAATTCTATGTTTGGGAAAATCCATCAAATACCGCAAAACTCTAAATCTAACAAGAATAACTACTCAGACTTGATCAAGCAATCACAAACAGTTGTCTGAATATAATGCATAGATAATAAATGGGGTTCCAATACAAAGCTATGGAAGAATTTTTGATCTTCTCCCCAAAACAAAATAAGAAACTATGGAAAACAAAAGTGTGGCGGTGATTGGTGTTCTGCCTAACAGCGGCAGAAACCAATATAAACTAGATAAAAACTCGTCAGGGATAGTTTTGTAATTTTGTGTAGATTTAGGGCTTTACATCGGTCTTGAAAAAAATCTGGTTTGTACACAATGACCATCGATCGACGCTAGAGTAGCCCTGTCGATCGATGTCGATCTCATATGTCGACTCTGACTTAGCTGATTTTTGTCAGCTACAGGTTTCTTCATCCAAAATGCACCATGTTCTCAACATAACTCCAAAGCTATAAATCCTCAAAAACATAGCTTAGACACACATAACATGGCCTAAAATTGGTAAACAATAAGGTATATCAACTCCCCAAATTTAACCTTTTTCTTGTCCTCAAGTAAAACAAAGGTGGCATATGAAAGATGTTTTGAAAAGCGAAGACTCACATAAATTCTATAATAATACCATCATCCCTACTACACTGCAACCACATCCTACTATGCTAATTTTAAAGAAACTATATATACATTATCCTAGCTTAGCAACCAAAATCCATTCTACCAATAACTTAGCAAATATTAGCTTGACTCACCCCTCTACTGACCTCATTTCTTGCATAAAAATAAAAGTGCAGACTTTACCTTGAGAGTATCGATCAAAGACTATATGGATTCTTACCTATGCATGTATTCTAAAACACATGCAGTCTTCTCTGATCAATTTCTTCTCTCTTTTTGCCTCTTCTCTGAATCTTTTTGATCTCAAACTCTATGAACAATGATCACAAACTCGTATCGTCAATGAATTGTTATGTAGGATATTGTCACCCAAGGATTGAATGATACAAACATTTTTCTCATTCCAAAAAAAGATAAGCCTACTGATATGGCTAAGTTTCGACCGATAACCTTATGTAATGTGAGTTACAAGATAATCTATAAGGTCCTATGTCTGAGATTGAATAAATTCTTACCTAATCGGATCTCGGAAACACAATATGCTTTCGTGGTAGGAAGACCTATCACAGATGTTTCACAATCTTTGGACAAAACAAGGTGGTAGACAAAAGAGTATGGCGATAAAGACTGATATGAGTAAAGCGTATGACAGAATGAAATGGATTTTTATCCAGTGTGCTTTGGAAATAATTAGGTTCTTTGAGACGTGGTTCAAATGGATCATGCGGTGTGTCACTACAGTCAAATATCAGGTCCTTATGAATGGTCAGCCAAGAGGAAATATTGAACCACATAGAGGATTGCGCCAAAGAGATCGTTTGTCTCCTTTGATTTGTGTCTTATGTACGGAAGTGCCCGTTAGCCTTCTTAATCACATAGAATCAAGGAAAGATACCCGGGATGGGCGTATCACGTGCTAGCCCCTCAGTGTCTCACTTGTTATTTACTGATGATAGCCTTTTTATTTTGTAAGGTGGAGCCACGTGAATGTGATGAAGTGATGAAAGTAGTCAAAGTCTATGAAAAAACGTCTGGTCAGTGTATAAATTTTGACAAATCCTCTCTCCTTTTTGGAAAAAGAATCCCAGATGACCTGAAGCAAAAAGTTAAAGATACTCTTGGCATTGAGAATGAATGAGGAATGGGTAAATACCATGGTATACTAGAAGACATAAGTGGTTCGAAATGAAAGTTATTTGCTTTCCTAATGGATAAGCTGGATCGTAGGATCAATGGATGATCTGGATGATGGCCGACCAAGGGTGGAAAGGAAGTGCTTATCAAAGCGATTGCACTGGCTCTTCCGACTTATGTTATGTCGAGCTTTCTATTGCCTCTTGAAATTTGCGACAAACTGGCAAGTGCCATAGCACGCTTCTGGTGGAGCGCAAATTCGCCTAATAGAAATATGCATTGGGAAAGGTGGGAAAAACTATGTTTTCCAAAGGAAGAAGGAGGAATTGGTTTGTGTTTCTTTGATCCATGAATTCAATTTGGTCCTCTTAGAAAAACAATTGTGGAGACTGATTCAGTTTGCAGATTCCCTTATTGCAAGGGTTTTACGAGGGAGGTACCATCGTACATGCTCAATACTAAAATTGACAGGTTATGCATCACCTTCGTGTGTATGGACAAGCCTGATGGAAGAAAAGCCTTTATTGATGTTGGGGATCTGACAGAATGTGCATTCTGAATACTAAATTAATGTATGGAAGGATCCATGGGTTCCTACTGTCCCTGCACGACCTGCTATACCAATGGTGCCAGTGATGCATCCAAGGATGATCTCACTTTATTCATGGTACGCCAAAAGTTTGGGATGTGGGGATGCTAGAACGGTGTGTGGCCAAAGAGGATAACTCTAGGATTCTGAGTCTGGCTTTAAGTTAAACACGTAGAGAAGATAAGTATAGCTGGAGTTATACGAAAAGTGGCTTGTATACCATAAAGTCAGGATATTGGGTGGCTAGAAATATACTATATCAACCCGCTGAAGTCTTGGTATCGGTACCCAGCATTAAAAGGTTACAAGCTCATGCATGGAAGATAAAGGCTCCTCAGAAGACGAGACACCTAATTTGGCAAGTGGCATTGGGATATTTAGCGGTAACAAGGAAGCTAACATATCGTTATATACGATATGATAATCATTACCCAAGATGTGGAAAAGAGGACGAATC